TAGTCATAAAAAATATGTAAGCCAGAAACGATAGCTTGAAAACAATTTGCATACTGAACTTGAATGCTTTCAACGTGTTAATATCAGCTCTAATAGTCTAACGTTTTTGTTCTAATTATTCTTTTCTGTTTCATTACATTCCCATAAATTTTATCAGGAATCTTAACCAATTAATTACAAAAAAATTCATTTTTTTAACAGAAAGAAGCTTTCTAAAAATAAAAATTTATTTATTATTGATTGTTTTCTTTTACAGTAATTGATCATGAATTCAGTTTTATGAATTTTAATAAAGAAAAATTCATAAAAAGAAACAAGTAATATAGTTTTGATAAACAATTTTCTATATTTTCTTTTTCTCTAAATTTTATGTAAAACAATCACTGACTAATGGTTTTGTGCAATTTTTTGATCAATTTATGAAGCAAAAAAAAATATAAAGTAGAAAAAAATGGTCCATTAGTATATCGAGGAAAAAATAAATTTTTAGGTTCTTAAGTAAAGTTAAGCTTCAGTTGGTTTCTTTGTAAGTTTTTGTTTATGAAATGATTATGGCTGTAGTTTAATTTTTGCTGTATTTTTCTTGAAAATTTAAAGAAATATGACATAAAATAAAACTGTATGACCCAAGTTAAGGAAACTGGAGAGGTTGAGCTAAAGAAATCCAGCCAAAAAATCTTGACCTTCCGTTTCCTCTTGCGTCAAGGGTCGTAAAGCTTAACGAGTAGTTTTGGAATCGGTTTGGTTTTTCTTTTTGCAACGAAAGACCACACGTCAGATTTTTTTCCTTCTACTGCTCTTTTCTTCAATCCTTTTCTTACTTCTATTACTTTTATTCGACTCTTATCTGTATACTATTGAAGTCCAAGACACCTAAAGAATTAAAAAAAAGTCTAGATAGAGTAAATTTCATGTTTAGAACAAAAATACCTCTTAAAAGTCTCGTCTAGCTCTTGGTTAATAGCAGCCATTGAAAATTTGCCGAGCCATGAACTTCTAATAATCACGTCTGTCCTCAGGGTACTCAGTTTAATTTCAATTAAGTGTGTACCACTTTGTACAATGTTTTACAGTACAATAGAACACGTGATCTTTATAAAATAAAAGAGCTTGATTATAACGCACCTCTAAAATGAATCAAATATTGAAAACTGCTATTCTTAATTTTCCATTAGGAAGTTATTGTAATGGGATCGATTTTTAAAATTCGTAATCATTAAATTTCGAGACATTTAAAAACATATTAGAAGATTCAAAAATAAATGTCTGTCTGTACGTACGTACGTACGTAAGGTTTTTTTTGTTTTCAATATCTCCAGAACCACTGAAGATTTCGACTCCAAAAAAATAACTTTATGCGATTAACCAATTATATATTGCTTATATTAATAGCAATTCATTGTGTGATCCATTCTTAAGCAACATAAAATTGTGTTTTTATAGATCAACATTTTAACACAGATTGAAACGAAAAAGTGAACAAAGATTTATGTTTGATTTCTAATCAAAATAATTCTACAAATATATTTATTGAAAACTTTATTTTGATGAAATTTATTTATCGAAAATAAGGGAATAAAAGTAAATGTAATAGTAAGACAACAAGCTTGTTGGAAAGTCGCAACTCATCAATAGAAATCGATAACGTGACTCATATATCCATACAACTACACCAAGTATATCTATAGCACTGGCGATGACATGCCTTTATTTTTCCTTTACTTTTTTCCCTTCTAACACAGCTATATCGTTTTATTACTCCTTCGTATTTAATTCAGCTATCTTTTCATTTATCTACGTATATATGGAAATTTCCTAACTTTTAAAGTAAAATTTTCCTTTTTTATAAATTTTTTTTCTTTTCCTAAAAAGTAGTTATCACTTCCGGCTTTTACCTTCTTGTTCAAATGAAACTTACAACTTGTCTCCTTTTTTTCTGATTCTTTAGTTTTTTTCCTTCACTCTCATGTTCCTTTTACTTTTAGAGGGTATACCATCTGCATTTGATATCTACAGTCTTCCTCGTTCACCGTAACAGCTGGACGTATCCGTGACTTTGTCCGGTTTCTTGTTCTTCAAAAACCCTCAGTGCAGTTATTTTTTATAGCATTTTTATCCAGCTGATGAATTTAATCTATTTTCCAATGAATAAAATTTATTCTTCATTTCGTGTCATCCTTCTTCCATATCCTTTGAGAACAAAGTGCATAAAAATATATACAAATTTTAAGTACTAAAAAGAAAAAAAAAATACTTCCGTTTGTGGCAGCTATAAAACAGCATCTAGGTCTCGAATTTAAGTTTTAAACTTGGCAAAAATCGATACGATGAACTCAGGGTAAATACATAAAAGTCTTTGGTAGTAAGAGGTAGAGAGAGTTCGACTTAAGTAGCCTTGCACACTTCCACAAGAAGACAAGGGGATGTTTTGTACTCTTGTGAAGAACTTGGTGCTTTTGTGAATTGCATTGCGAATTGGCTGTGTCTTTTAAAGTGTTTCTATCATTCTTTAAAATGCTAATTTTATCTACAAGCTTTGAACTGTTTTATTTCTATCGAAAGATATTTGTACCTGTAAAAACTATGTAATACATTAATTCATAACAAGTTGTTACTTATCATTACTGCTCAATAATTGAATCTTGACAATTCTATAAAGTTTAAAAATTAAACTAATGTAAAAAATAAGTCAAGTTAATTTGTAGTGTCGGTCACAGTGAATTGTTAATTGAAATACTTTAAAATTTAATGAAATTTCTCAAAATAATACTTATTTTGTATTTAATTAACCCAGATACTGATTTATTCTGCTACATATTTAATACAAAATTTTGGACATTTAAAGCAATTCCAAATTTAATTTTTGACAGATTTTGGTAGTTGTGTCAATCACAATGACACTTATATTAATTTATTGCATTAATAAATGGTAGAAAATTCAACCATTTTTTTAATAAAATAGAACAAAAAAATGTTGTATAGAATAATGATAAAATGAAGTTAAGAATATATTTATAGTCTTTAAATAAATAAAATTTATCAAATAATATAAACTATCAGTGAAATTGTTTGATTGGAGAGTAATTTTATTCCTGTGGTTGAAATTGATTTTTCATAATCATTTGAGATTATTAAACAAACAAAATTCTCTCATGGAATACATATACAGTGGAGCATTTAGTAGCACGATATCTTTAATAATAAAGCAATAATAATAACTATAATAATGAAAACTCTATTTCATACAACCGGCATCATTATGTTGTAGCTTCATTAGTTTTCCTAGAAAATTGCACACATGTATTTGGAGCGTAGAAAAAATTAATAAATTAAAGTTTTATGAAACTATTTTTTTTTTTATAAAACTGAAATTTGACTTCAAAGTTTAATGAATGTAAAAAAATATAATGGCCAAAACATGTCTTTTTCACTTGAATCCTATTGGACTTTGTATGTTTGATGTTGTTCGTTAAAAATGTACGTTTTTTTTAGTGATTCAAACTACCTCAGCGAACCAAAGCAGATAGATGTTTTTTAAAAAAGAGCATAAACGAATTCTCCCCTGAAGATATTTAGATTCTGAGTTACTGCATATGATAGAGTGAATTCTAAGCTCATTAAATTTAAATGATCGTGGATAAAAATAAACCAGCATCGATGAAAAAAAACTTCAGAAGCTTCTCTCATTTTTCAATTAAAATTCATGACAATAACAGAAAAGATTTTAATCCGGTATTAGGCAAAAAGAGTTTTACTTTTTGAAAATTACCAATCTTTTCATTTCGCTATTTTTTCTACACAACAGGATCTGTCCCATTAGTGGTTGTTTTCATCGACTATCTAATGCAAAAAAAAAACATTGCAAAGCTGCACACATTGCTTTCATTCCCATGCCACTGAAGCATAAAGCTCGTTCCACTTTTGAAGGTTTCGACTCTCGTCATTTGAACAAAAGTGTCGGCCAGCCTGATTCGCCTTTGTCACGAGGGTTCTAATAGCTACACCTAACACACGAATTCGCGTGCCTATTGTGTCACTGCGAATGTCACTTTTGCATCAAAAACACCATCAGGTTGCTGTGATGTTCAAGGTACTTCAACATGACAGATTACACTACACAAAATTATGGACATATTTTGCCAGATTCTGCGCAACATCATACTTTGTGTTCTACGGCTACTACGGACTTTGAGTGAGTGTTGGGTTGAGTGAAAACGAAGAATTTATATCTCGTATCGTTCACACGTATCTTTGCACTCGGTTTCCGCTCAATTCATCTATTTTTCACGCATATCACGATTACTACATGTGCAGTTACTGTCGATATATTTCTCGTCTGCTTTTTGATTAATTGAAAGTAGTTCACCTCTAGAACAGTCTTAAAAATACCTGATAAAAATTATATGATAGCATTTAACGATTTTTATGACAATCGAGTATTTTATGTCATCAATTATCAATACAGTTGGTAGTTTTATTGATGCTTTTACTTTATTGTGCTATAGAACTTGATGTAATTATTAAGAAAAAAATTTTTATCGTCAATCAATATTTATTACAAATTTCGCTAAAAATATTTTGTATTATTTTGCAAAATAACAATATTGTAATAGACGAATTACATTTCTTCATCAATATTATCTTGAGTCGGTATAAATAATCTTAATCAAGTGTACGAAAAATTTGAAAAATTCATAATAATATCTAATTATGTTGATCATGATTCTCAAAATTTTTAGCCGAGTCTCTTTATCATCATACATCACCAGATTTATTATAATAAATTTCATCAACTTAATTAATCATAATTTCATTGATTAAACTTATTACGAAGATCATTAAATCTCATTGAAAATGAAAACATGCCATCATAATAAAACATTCAGAAATGATTACATCAACTTCTATTCATGTGATGGAAAAAAATAAATAAAAATATTGAAACAAAATGAAAAAAATGAGTGACAACCTGAACTAATAAGATAATGATTTTTTTTCAGAAAACGGTCTTCTCTCCTTCGAGAACCCCAACTACCATTTGGAGTCAGCCCGATTTGATGATGCACTTAATAGTAATGGCACAGCAAACTCGCTGTTTGATGAGTTTTACCCTGAGTTGGTTGTCAGCGGTGGTAGAAGAGATGAGGTCACAGGTGGTATAGGCAGTGGTGGCACAAGACCTGCAAGGAGGTTTTATTGTGCACTAAATCTTGGCAGCATGGGCGTCGATGTCACTCAAGGTCCTCTCACTCAGAACTCAGTGACTGCGGAAACGCCAGACAATACCGCTAACCACAATCTCGGGTAAGTTGAACATGTCACGCTTCAACACTTTGACCATTACATTCAATTAGTCAACTATCTAGTCTCTCTGTCATAAACCTTGCTATTGAATTAATTAAACCAGTACCTTCATCTTTAGTCTACGTCTTCCAAGAAACAATTACATGCTAATTAAAATTAGGATTAGAATAATTCATTTGAGATAAGGATTTCTTCATCATTAATAAATCTTATTCTATAACATAAATTGGTTAATATTCAATAAATAATTTAAACTTTTTTTATTTAAATTTATTTTTTGATAAGATATTTACACCATTATATGCAGAGCTTGATGTAAGTAACATAACCTTTTGTTGAGAATAATCCATTAAAGAAGAAAAAAAAACATTTTCCTAGCCATTTAAAGTTAAATTGAAAACATGAAAATTATTATTATAATTTTAATTGATTTGTACTCTCAAAAGGCGAGTTTCATTTGATATTACTGAGCCATGAAATGAACATTCTATTATATTAAAAAATACAAACTTCAAAAGAAGATATTAAAACGAAATCCATAAAGAAAATTTATTTATTGATAAATTAATGGATATTAAAATTGACGGAAAAAAATTTTTTTTCCTCTAAAGTTAGAGATTGAATGGAATTATTGATAAGAAAGAAATCCTTAGACATAGATAATAAAATAGTGAGATAAAAATATAAAAATGCATGAAGTAAACAAGAAATAGAATAAAATATTAGAAGTCAGTGACTTAATCGAAGAGATTGAAGGGATTCGAAAGAGCTTTTCAAAGAGTCGATTAGAATGCCAAAGATTCAAAAGACGATGGGAAAATTACTGTCAGTGCAAGCACGCCTGTAAGGGATAAATTACTAGAGGGATGTCATGGAAACACGCAGACGTTCCTCGGAGCGATATCACATTGTCGTGAAGTGACGGACGGCAAGAATTCAAGCATAAAAATCCAATTAAGGAAATGCTTGTCGGTTTTTCATCCTAGCTGAATGTAATAGGGAAAAGGGTAAAAAAAATCACCAGAGATGTTGGAGGTGCAAAAGAAAGTAGAAGTTGATTTCATCTTCCTTTTTTTTTCTTTTTTTGACTACATTTCTCTGCCTCGAGATGTGTAATAGTCGAATCCCTCAGGGTTTTTTTTACAATTGAAAAGAAAATGAGTATAATTAATTTGATTAAAATGAATGATATAATAGAGAGTAATGACTAATGAGATTGAAGGTGAAAATAATTTTCGCCATGAGAATAGGAATCAATTAGTTTAATAAATGCTGTTTCCTAAAGGGTTATAAGAGGAAAGAAACATTCATAGGCTGAATGAGATTGAATTGATTGGTGATAATGAGTCTTCCATTATATACCATTGAAACGTTTCATTTATTATTGAACAAAGTCTCATATATATTTCTTATCTTTTGATTAAAATTGAAATTGACTATTAATCTCAAAATTATTTCATTTTCTTTTACATTTAATTTCATTACTGGATTAAAGCAATTATCTTATCTTTTGATTTCATAATAAAATTACTTTTCTAAAAAATTATTACGATCTAATGGGATTTTTATCGAGGAATATTGAAGTATTTTATTCTTTGTTTTATTCCAGTCATTTTCTCTAATAGGAATTGAATAGAAATAAGATGAACAAATTTTATTGTACTTGAGTTTGATTTACATAGTATGAGATCAGGGAGAGTTGATTACATTTACTGAGATTTGGAATGTGAAATTATCATCCTTGTCATCAATTGTTATGTGATGCTTTGACTATAAAGCAGGAGAGTTTACACTAAGAGTTTGTCTACTGGGGGCTTAAATTGTAGAATACATGTTTATACACATCGAAGCTTGGGAGATACATGCTCAAGCTCCTATAAGATAATACTGTTCTACTCTATTCTGCGATTAAGATGTAAATTCCAATCTTTAAGATAAATTAAACAAAGCAGTTGATAATTTTACTGTGTAATTACAACGATGTCTTCTTTACTCAATTTTTCCGTTTATTTTTTTTGTGAACTTAGCCAAAACTTGAAATGAAAAGTTTTTAAGTAAAATTTTGATTTATTAATTTTTTTTTTTCTCACTTTACTGAGCAAAGAATTTTTTGAACAAAAAGTTAATGGAAGTTATTTTCTTAACGAGTTGCTAAGTCATTTCACAGCGACACGATTCTCTTTGTTGCCGGCAGTTAGTAATTCGAGGAAGCAAAAGAGAAATGATGAGGGTAACCATCACTGCTCTGTAATATTCCTTTGAGAGTTTTGGAGAATATGAGATGATAAGCCAAAGAATGAGGACCTGTATAAGAGAAAAGCACGCGCGAGTTTACATCAAACTCAATCTAAAGTTGTCAACTAAGTTTGTCCAACTCATGCTTATATATGTTGATCTCTACCTATTACCTTCCGTAATTTTGGCTCTTTTACTTGTTTACCTTGCTCGCACATTCTTAAACAAAACATTCTACATCAAACCCATATTTACATTGGAATTTGTTTATACAATTTAACTTGAAAAAAATATTTTAAAACTTGAAGATTTTTATTTATTTATTTTAAACTCTTTGCTGATATAAATCATATTTTAATTGTAAATTATAGTTTACATAAAAAGTTTTCTTTTATTTGTTTGTGATTATGATTAGCCGTAAAAATCCAATAATAATGTCACTATAATCTCTGCAAAAAATATAAGCTTAAAGCGTAATCAAAAAGGATCGTAACAATTTTTGATGAATATTATATCAAAACGTTTCCATTTCAATTTGAAATCTTTTTTTTGTTTTTTTTTTGTATTTTGCTGCTGTGGATAAAATCTTTTTTTTGTTTTTTTTTGTATTTTGCTGCTGTGGATATTTTGTATTCACTTCATGAAAATTTAACGTATCGTACACTCAATAAACTTCCTCATCTTGAATAATTTCATATTTCGATATTCCAATAGCTTTTGGAGACAGCAAAGTGAAAATGTAAAATGAATAACGTCGTCAGGATAAGACTGAATGTAAAAGAGTGAAAATTTTCGAGTATTTGAGAAGAAGATTATTGAACAGCAAGATGGGTAAGTGAGATTATATTTTACTAAGAACATGAACATCGAAAAGAGTGTCGTGCTAAGCTTTATCAAATAGTATAGCGAATTGATGTAGCAGAAGTCAGATGCAACATGAAAATATAAAGAATATATGACAGCACAAAAAATCAGACAGTAGAGAAGCTAAGAAGAGATAAAAATGAGAATAAAGTCAGAGTCTTGATACGAAATATAAAGAAAGTAGAAAATCACGTTGCAGACCATTGTAATGTATCTGTATTATTGTTTTTCCTGAGGGAATTTTCTGCTCTTGACTTTCTGGAAAAGGGTAGACAAGGCTTGATTAATTGGAGACAACATCAATCTCTATCACGGATGAAGGATCAGTTATATACCAGTGGATCATATATTTATTTTACCTTTTTGACAAATGGGAGAACAAAAAATTAGATAAAATGACAAATTATTCTAAAAATATTTACACTTTTCAATGTCATTTTTTATTTTTAATTCAATTTTTTATTTCGTTACTCTATTAATCTATATCAACACCCACGAAGAAAAATTGTAACTGGCAAATTTTCTCTTTTTTAATTTAATTTAATTCATTCTTCAACTCAAATATTATTAAATGTTTCTTTTTCAATTCACGTTAAACGAAGAATTTTTTTTACAAAAAAGGTAAAACATTTTTGTTTCTTTATTTTTCCGTTAACTGAAGTACTCTTATTAACGTTTTGCAGCAAGTGCTTTGAGAACGTTCTTATCAGAGAATTTTTATCACTAGATCTTCGAATATTTATTAAACATTTCCTCTCGGACAAATCTTTTACATTTCGTCAATTTTTATCCTTTAAGTATCATTTTAATATATTTAACATTTTTATCCATACCTTATTTTAATTACAATTAGTTCTAAATAACTCTATTCATTAGAAACAACATTACAACTTTATTTGAGTTCAACTGTTACCTCAAGCAAGCATTTAAGTTAAAATAAAGCAGTTCAATTGAATTATTCAACAAATAAAATAATTTATTTAGCATTCTTATGAGCTTAAAAAAAATTTGGTTCTCTTAAATAGATTTACAAACTGTCATGACCTCTCTATAAGGACAATTTATTACAAATCGTAAATAGTAAGTATCTCAATACCATCACTTTTTTATCGTGCAAGGGTTTGTAAGGTATTTTTATCGAGCTTAAAGGAAGCTTTGTAAACTCGGATGACGCATTGTCACAGTGTCGACAGTTTTTGTGATGATAGCATCTTGGTGGTTTTGGACGCAGGAAACATAAACCTGTAAGTAATGACAATAGCCTATTTGCCCCGGGGGTACACGCCAATGGTGAGATCGGCATTGTAGTGAAAGAAAGATGTGAATAGAAAGGTTTTCTGATAGTGAATGGGTGAAGAAAACTACTGGAATTTTGTTATGCTAGCAACATGATCACAAGGATGCCGGATAGGTATCTTAACGATCATGTCTAAAGTAAGGTACATTGGGCGTGAAAAAAGGTGCTTCTGTTAATGGCTAAGACATTCCTTGAGGCTTTCTGAATATCCCCCATCACCAATCTCTTTTATGCATATTTTTATCTACATTTCATCCTTAATTGCTCAAGTATTTAGACTGGATAATTTTATTCAAAAATATTCGTGTAAAAAATTTCATTTACAATACGCTATGCTGGAAAAAACAATTTTACATGATAGCCAGCAAAAGTTATTGATAAAATTCTCTAATTCGGTACATTTTATGAAGACAATCAAAATAATAATTACTTTGGATTACAGACAACTATTATTTGATAATAGATATATTTATGAACAAAAATATTTAACATATTTATTTGAATGCTACCTGCATTAATCAAACAGATTTTATCATTTTAACTCAAATAAAAACGACCTGGAGTTGATTTTTTTTTGCCTGCAATGGAATAAACTTATTTTAAT